CAAATGAAGATGACCATGGCTCACTTTTTCATAACATGCTTTTAATTTATAAGGTAGTTTTTGGAGCTGATTTTGAACTTAGCGCCCATCTGAACATTTAAGAAGTAGTTTTGTTGCTTATACATACAACATGTTAGGAAGCAATCGGTGGTGGTCATCCACTATTAGGTACTGGTCGATCTGACCAGACCTGATCTACCCCAAATGCATGGAGTCATCATCTTCGTTCAAAACTAAGATAACATTCGTAATCAGAACCTCGAAAAACCATCACAACTTACATTCGTTAAGTTCTAGCAGGTCCCGAGTTTCCCTACTTATTGGCGATGACCTGAGTCCTGAGATGACCCGAAACCTTGTAAATGGGTATCATCGGCTTTCTCTCGTCACGGGCAGCATGCTCTTTTTTCCGCAAACCTCTAGATCGATCAGGGGTCGAAAGCATACCTCAGCGTTACTTTAGTATATGTTATACGTTAGCGACTGGGAAACCACCAATAGAAGGGCTACAGTGAAGCAGAAAACATATTCGATAGCTCTTTCAACGCCCTTTCGCTAGCTTCAAGTCAGATTTCATCTCAGGTCTATGTTTGGCCCATAGAAGGCAAACAGCTAACTGGACAGATTCTGCCGAAACATTTGCTTTGATTCCGTGAATTCCGTGAAACACTTTAGATTCCGTGAATTTGTATGGTATTTACATATGTTGTCTTGTCACCACCGTGTTTATCCCTTTGAGACGCGTCACATGAGTGAAAATTTGACCATTCAGAATTAACGTTAAAACAACCTCAGGTTAACGTTATGTCGAAAAGGGACCTCCTGCTGCATATGAATGGATCCGTGTTGTTGAGCTGAATAGTGAACACCTTCCAGGTGCTGTCATCGCTCTACCGCGTCTTCGTCAAAAGTTGTAGAAAAAAATGCTGGTGGCCATCGATGGACATTTCCACTAATGACCTTTCGAGTCATCACTCGCCATAAGTTGCACCCTGTCCCTGGCAATGATGAGCTGATTTGTCATGGCTCCAAAGATATTTTGCGTTTCTGACGAACTTTTTCAAAGCAGGAGGCATTCGTGCTTTTTCTAATTTCTCATTATTTTCTAATGATGAGGTCACGTATTTGACCTGCCTCCAGATCATAGATGTAAATCCTCAGTTAGAATCATGAATTGCTAACACGTATAACCCCATACATTAGGTATACAGTGTACCAAATTTTGAAGTTATGGGAGAAAAGCTACAAGATTGGCGAGAGGGGAAAGTTTTATAGAGTTATACCGTATAACTGAACTTGACATGGCGACCTGACCTTAAGTGACCAGTGATAATTTTTACGCAAAAGTGATGTAGGTAGGTACCTATACCTACCTAATAGGCTATACCAAATTTCGCGGCGCTGCGCGCCGATTTGTTACACGTGCACACACACACACACACATACGCACGCAAAAAACTGGGAAGTGTGGCAAAAAAACACCCCTACCCATCGGGTGAAGACTAGAAACCCGACCCCCCCACTCAAAAATCCGTGGCGACGCCCCTGTGGGACGGGGAGATAGGAGAACGGCAGAGTGGGCAGGCTGATATAGACGCGCGTTATAAAGAGTCAAGGTGGACACCACCGAAAGGGAGGGACCAGTGGCTAGACTTATACATTGAGGAAGTATCCACTGGTATCGTGAGAGGACTGAAAAAGAAAGGTAGGTCAAATCTCACTCAGGCCGAGAACGATGCTCTGCTCTCTCTGGTGAACGATGAGTCCATTGTTATAAGGCCAGCTGACAAGGGATCGTCCTTTGTGGTGATGAATACTAGCGACTACATCTCGAAGCTGGCGGGTGAAATTGAGGAGGGAGATGGATATGACAGGACCAACGGTGACATAACCCCTTCAGTAACGAAAAAGGTTACCAAACTCGCTGCTAAGATGGAGGGAAAAGGGTACATTGGCAAACATCAAAAGAAATACTTAATACCTCCAAGACCCACTCCGGGGGCCCTACAGGGTAACCCCAAGATTCATAAGGGTGGGGCCCCGATGAGAGCAGTAGTAAGCGGGAGGGGACATGCCACGGAAAGGATGGCAGAGATGGCAGAGAGCCATCTCACAGAGCACGTGGAGGCCCAAGCATCATACATCAGGGATACTACAGATTTCCTTGCAAAATTACGGGACCTAGGGCAGCCGGTAACAGGAAGGGGTGGAGGCAAACCACTACTTTTTTGTATGGACGTAGCGAAGTTATACCCCAGCGTCCCGAGAGATGAGGGAGTAGCCGCGTGCCGAGAGGCTTTAGACCAGAGGAAAACAGCTAAAATTCCCACGGAAGAGCTCCTTGAAGTCATACAGTTAGTTTTAGATAATAACAATTTCCAGCTGGGAGGGGATAACAACTATATTCAGACCGAAGGAACGGCTATCGGCTCAAAATTGGGAAGGAACTTTGCATGTACCTATATGGGTGCATGGGAGAAAACTCTACTGGAAAGGGCGTCCAACCAGCCAGACCGGTGGTACCGTTTCATCGACGACATATGGGGAATCTGGACCCACGGGGAAGAATCACTAAAATCCTTTCATCACCTAGCGAACCAAATTCATCCAAATATACAAGTAGACTTACGATTTTCGGATACAAAAATAGAGTTTCTAGATGTGGAGGTATTACTGAGCGAACTGGGCTATATCACAACAAATTTGCATATCAAGCCGACCGATGCTCAGGCATACCTCCACTACACCTCAGACCACCCACCATGCGTCAAGAGGGCTATCCCCAGGGGACTGGGAGTGAGATTGAAACGGATCTGCTCAGATGAGAAAGCTTACAGGTATCACAGGGACCGACTGGCAAACAGGCTGAAGGAGAGAGGGTACCCTGGGAATGAGGTCAGTTCCGAGCTAGCGAGGGTGGACCAGATTGATAGGGGTGGTTTACTTGTCAGCAGGGATAGCAAACAGAAGAGTACGGACAGGGTTCCAATGGTGATAACCTTTAGCAGCTTCCTCCCAGACGTAAGAGCTATCATGAAAAAGAACAGGCATATCTTGAGGAAATCTGACAGGTTAAAAAGTATTTTCAAGAGAGATTCAATGGTAGCTTACAAGAGGGGAAGCAACCTAAAGGATCTACTAGTGCATAAGAAAACGAGGAGGGCACTTGCAACCCGGGGAAGGCAGGACTGTGGAGGCGATTGCGTTATCTGCAAAGCCTTCTACGAAGGAGAATCTGTCCCTGGAGCACAGGGACCTGTGCACTACGATAGAACTATTGGTTGCAAAACTTCAAATCTAGTGTATGGGATCTGGTGTGAAAAGTGCAAGAAGGTGGTTTATGTAGGACAGACGGGAGACACTATATACAGGAGGGTTCAGAACCATCTCTCATCAATTAGGTGCAACAGAGTTGGTAGAATCCCGGTTAACAGGCACTTTACAGTGGAAGGGCACACAGAGGGAGACTTCAAAGTCGTTGGACTAGAGAGAACCTGGGGTAACTCAGAGGACCGTAGAAAATTTAGAGAGATGAGATGGGTGGGGTTACTGGGAACACAGAGGGACAGTGAGGGAGAGAATGTAAGAAGGGAGGGTTAGCTATACTCTAACCGGCTGCCCGGTGCAGGTACGTTTTGGTCCGACGTCGCAGTCTTCCATGGGTGACTGTGGGGACGTGTCTAGGTTTGGCGCGTCCCCGCAGTCACCCATCTTAGGTTGCACCGTTGGGTACGTGGGGCCTTGCAATGTACGGCCGGCTTTAGAGGACAGTGATTGACGTCTTACCTCTCGAAGATGCCTCTAATTTGTGCCGCTACTAGATAGTACGTAGAGGGCCTGTTGTAGCCCGCTCCAGCACCGTTTTCGCCAAATGTTTACTCTGTGGCTAAAGTATGTAATCGGATCGCTAAGGCAGTTTATCGCATTATTCCGTTTCGAAACAGTTCGCTATAGTACTTAGAAACGTCAGATCGAGGGCTCTTGTCAGGTATTCTGGTGCCTGCCTGACAAGTAGGCTGTGCCGCAGAGCACGGGTGTACTGCGGGCTGCCTGATGGCTGTGTTGTTTACGCCCAATGCCTGTACTGACGATGGTACAGCATTTTAATGATAAATCCTTAGTGGCTGCCTGACAAGTAGGCTGTGCCGCAGAGCACGGGTGTACTGCGGGCTGTCTGTGGACTGTGTGATTTGCGCCCGTTGACTGTACCGACGATGGTGCGGTAAATTAATGATATATCCACCGTATTTTATTGCGGATGCATAGGGCTAGGTGGGGTAGTTTGCACCTGGTGGATACAGCCGAAATTGAATTTCCAGGAAACCGGAGGACCATGCTTGTTTCTGCTCGTTGTGTGTAGATGTGTATTTTGCGATTCGCCTTGTTTTGTCTTTGCTGCGCCAGAAGCAGATATGGCTTGCCAGAGTTAACTTCTGAGGCAGACTTTAGCAATAAAAAGTCGAAACGTCACTTATTAGTTTGTTCGCTATATATATATATATATATATATATATATATATATATATATATATATATATTCAATTCGATATATCAATTCGACGTCGCAGTCGTGTGGTTCAATTCGGGTAGAGCTTGGGGAAAACGAGCGTGTTGCCCTTAACCGGAGGATCGTAGGCCATTAGGTTGCCATTGAGGTTAGGTCAGCTGGATCAAGATCAATGAAATGTTTCAGTTTCGTGACAGTGTATGCTGTGATGTTCTCGTGTGGACGAACTACAGGCATGTCGTCTCCTTCCCACAGGATGCAACGCACAGGGGCTGGCGGCGTCACTTAAGGAGCTGGAGACGGTCTTGGAGGAGCCACGGAATGTCCCGTACCCCACCATCGTACGCGCCCGTGCCGGCGACCCAGCCGACCTCTATGTGGAGGGCTTCAAGTCGGTTGGCACGCATCGGCGGGTACGTGATGATGGAGCACTTTGCTCCCCGAGGCCTCGGGGAGACGCTGTCCCCACGTGAAGGGGGCTCCGTTGACAGCAATGCCAAGCCATGACGCCCCCCTCCACCAAGAGGAAAGCCGACTCACTGGGGCCATCATCACAGCCGCGAAGCGCAGTATCCCGTTCGGGAACGGGGGAGGAGGCAAGCCACCTTTCTGGAACGAGTCGTGCCAAGAAGCGGTCGACCTACGCGAAGGAGCACAGTCCAGAGCCTCCGACCCGGACCACACGGCAGACGACACCACCGCCGCACGCGAAGCTCGACAGAACGCCACCAACACCATCAACAGAGAAAAAACAGCCTACGTCAACAGACAGCTGGAGGAGATGGGAGCTGACACCGACCTCTGGAGTACCATCAAGATCCTCGACGGCCGCGTCCCACCAGCAAAACCGGCCGTTCCCATACAACGACCACCGACAGCCGGCCAGACAGCACCGACCAAGGCGGCGGTGACAGACAGAGAGAAGGCCGACCTCTTCTGCCAGACCTACGCTGCCGTCTCGAGACTGCCCAAACGGAAGCAGGAAGACCATGCACACCGGCACCCGCACCCCCAGACCACGCCTGGACTCCAAGACCTCCCGCGCTGGGGGCAAGTGACCGTGTCGCAGTTGCGGACCGGCTACTGCCCCCTGGCACGAGCGATGCTCCACCGCCTGGAGCTCACCCCGGACCCTCTCTGCCGGGAGTGCGGTGCCGAGGACACCGTTCGCCACCTTCTCACCGAGTGCCCAGCATTCGCCACCACGAGACGCCGGCTCTGGGGGGACCCCTGCCATCCCTTGACGAGGTCCTCTCCGGGCCGGCCGGCAAGATTGTCGACTACATTCGGCGGGTGGGGCGGTCCGAGCCGCCGCTCGACCAGCCCCCGTCCGACGCGCCTGCGGGCGCGTCCACGTGACGTGCGGCAAAGAAAGAAAGAAGGGCTTCAAGTGCGTCACAATGTGTCCCGGCTCCGAGAGCCAGCTCCTGACTTGGGCCATTTCTTTTTCTGTCTTTTGCCAAAAACTGGCTTTCAAGGCCATAACAATAAACAAACACCGCCACATTCCTGGCCATCTTCATCGTGTAGTCGGACACGTGTCACAAACTACCCAAAGAGCTTACCCTGCAACTGGCCAAGCTCCGCAACAAAGAGTGAAACGCGGAAGCTCTGTGAAGTGAATGACGGAAGTGTGGAGGAAAGGCCGTTTCCTCGCTGGATTTTTATATCTTGCAAGGTGCATTGCGTTATGGCCAGTCGAGGTACTTTGTGTTTTGTTACAGTTTATAGTCGATGAGCCGATATAGCTGTGTGCCTATAGAGAGGTTCGCTGGAGAAGCTGCTGTGCTTTCTTTATCTGTGATGTGTGAAACAAGCTGCTGTGATTTTAGTTATGTGTGTGTTCCCAAACACGAATGTTTCTGGAAGTCGTCTTTATGTCACGGAGGTCACGACTTTGACGGGTGAGCGGTTAAGCACCGCAGTATATAGGCTCTTCGGGTAGACGTGGAGGCAACCGTCTACCAGGGGGTTACCGCGGATGCGGTTAAGCGTGGAGGGTAACCACTCTCCTGGGTGTTCGTGGAGCGCGGGTGCCAGGTAGGCGACAGGTTACCTTTCTGTGGAGGGTTTGCGAGCTACTAGTGCGCAGGTAACCATATAGGGTAACCGCCCTCCGGGGGGTTCGTGGAGCGCGGCTGCCAGGTAGGCGTTAACCCGCGCCCCAGTGGCGGTCTCAGCCAACTTCGCCCTAGTGGGGGGGGGGGGCATATGTTACCACCCACCTCTAACTCAAAAACTAAGAGGGATAGAAAGACGCGGTAAAAAGCAGTCGATAGCTCTCAATGTGTACGTTTGAAAGTATTTCAGTCATTTTTCACCTTAGAGCAATATTGGGGTCACCAGAGGTCATCAAAGGTCAAAATTTGCCAATTGTCATGATATTTTTCAGAAAACATGCCGCTATCTCAGGAACTATGGTAGATAGAAAAACGCATGGAACAGCAAACGATAGCTTTTGAGCTCTTCTTTTGAAAACGTCATTATCAATATTGACCTCAGGTCAACGGTTTAGCCTCCAGAGGGCAAAAACTCCAAAAATAGCTGTTTTTACGAAAAGTGTTTTTCGACAATAACTTTTGACTACAAAAAGCCACGGCATTTCTATTGCCAGAATCGTGTTCCCCTCGCCGAGACGCGTCGAATGAACTATAATTTGACCTTGAAAGGTCAACTTGAAAATTTGACCTCAGGTCAAGGTCATGACCTGACCGGAAAAGGTCATGTTGCATATCAGTCGATGCGTCTCAACAAAACAAACACAATGAGACCATCCCCAGCGTTCTATCTCTTTCCAATCGCGAGTTATTGGCAAAAAACTGTTTGTAGCCTCAAGTGACCTCAGATGACCTGTCTAGAGGCTATCAGCAAAAATGACACCTTGGTCATCACGAGTGGACTAAATCATTGTAATTCTGAAATATTTGGACTGTTCCTATGCGTACACACGGATCTAGAGGCATTTTCATTTTTCTCCATTGCCTTATAATGGTAAGGTCACGCCACTGACCTGACCTTAGGTCACGGATATAAAAAATCCGAGATATACAAATTGTAGGCGCCCATAACATCATGCAATCCACCAAGTTTGAAACCTTTCTGACAAACACTGCAGGCTGGACATGATTGCAAACTTTTTTTTAGGCTTGGTCAGTTAACTTGACCTGGTGACCTGACCTGACATGACCTGGGGTCAAAAATTTCACACATTGTCCAAAATTGATGTACAAAAAGCTACCCCAAGCGGCGCGGCGCTAGGCGCCGCGCTTTTTTATTTACACGCGAAAAACGCGACAGGGTGGTAACATATGCCCCCCCCCCCACTGGGGCGAAGGTTAAGGGTTATCTTTTATGCAGAGTTGGCGAGCCACTAGTGTGCGGGTAGCCGTTGAGGGTTACTACTCTCCAGAGTGATTTGCGAGGTGTAACACCATGACTTTATCCCTGATCCACGCGTAGGCATTATGCGCGTGGTTGCTAACAGCGGGTACGACTACCTTGCAATGAGACCTAACTTGACTCCTGGGAGGGTGGTTAAAAATGGTTGCGGATAGGGGTACCCGCGAAACACCGGTTTACTCGCCGGTTTTGGGTGAAATTGTTTTCAGTGTATATGCCAAATTTATCGGCGCAAAGCGCCATCGTTATACGTTATTTACAAAAACAAACTTAGGGGTTTGCATCAACCCCCTGGCCTGGCCTGACGAAGTTTACAGGCCAAGGGGCAATGCTGGGCATCGCCGGACCGCAGGTTGTTTGAAAAAAAAAAACGCAGAAACGCATCAGGGGCCGTTGGAAGCAGGAGCTGAGCTGTTTACGACACTCTACTAATCGTTCTCTAGCGGTGTGCTAAGTTTGAGTGAGATCGGTCCAGCAGTTCCCGAGTAAAAATCGTCCATGACGTACCGCCTGCTGCACGCTACCACCGCAAGCTCACCAACTCAGGTAGGCAACCCGCACAGCATCCGCATCCGCGGGCAGTCAGCTGACTGACCGGCCGGCAGCCGGTGAGGTGAGGCCGCGGACGGCTGACCCGCCGGGCGGCGAGGGAGGGGAGAGGTGGGCGAAGCTCGAACACCCGGCTGCACCCGACGAACCAATCTGAGAAATCACCGACCGGTCCGAAGTCACCGCCCAATGAAACATTCCAAGCAAACCACATCAGCCAGGTCATCAGAAATTACATTACATCACATCGCGTCTACCCAGTGCACGTGAATGCCGTCTTAAACGCGGCGGCATATAAGACGGCAGCGCAGTCTCATTTTCAAAACATCCTCCGGACTGGGTCTGAACCAGCGACCCACGATGGTCTGACGTATACAGCTGCATTCCACTGCTCTACCAACTGAGCTACCGGAGGGACACGGACAGGCGGCTCAGTGGTCGATAAAACTTCCAACGTGCCAACGCTCGTTGGAGCAAGATATTTGCAATACTTAGAAGAGCTGGAGACAGTCCGCCCGTCTACATGGATGCTTCCTTACGCCTAAAATACAGCATTGACTTATGACTTTCTAATCGTCCGGTGCTGTTATCGGCTGCTCGGTACCGCGTGTATGTTCCCTCATTCACTCCTGGTCACCCTTCGGTCACCCCTCGCTGGGTCGGGCCAGTCGGCTATTTTTATCCTCTTTCCGGCTAGGCCACCCGCTGAGCTCCTGCCGTGCCGCGCCGTCTGCGAGGGACCTGACCCTTCTGCCGGCAGAGGTTTCTCCAGGTGTCTCCAAGGAGCCATCGTAGCGCTAAGGGTATGCTAGCTCCGCATACACATACATTGATTTTCGCCCTTACTAGCAGGGCCGCTGGCACGCGTTGGCAGCGCCCCGCGGGCATTTTTTCGCTTAGGGTCATTTTGTGGTAAGGAGGATCAGAAAATCACCCTTCCAACTTTCTCCAGGCCTGGGTGTTTTATCGAGCGCGCCCGAAAAACGCACAGTGGATCGGAATCACACTTCGATTGCGTTACTTCGTATTAGGTAATACATCCGTGGTAATACGATCAAAAGTGCGCTCTTTTCTCAATCAATAAGGACAAGTGCGTTAAAACACACATATAAACTTTTAAATTAAAAACTTTAAATGCTAAATTTACGCTGATGATAATCGTTAGTTGTTTCAGACTTTGGCATGAAAACGTAGGCATTCAGATCCACCGTGTGACCGGTCACCGTATGCAGTAGTGTGATGGTGTGAGTTGGGGGGTCAAGGCCGTGTGGGGAGAAGGTGAGGAGATACCGGTGTGCCGACGCGGCGGATGGCGGTGATTAGACAGTTGTGCATGCATTGTTCATCTAGCATATCATTTGCTTGGGCGAATTTATAGGCATGACGCCTGTTTATCCGTCTAATTCAAAGGAAAGGTGTGAGTACCAATACTGGCCGTACTTTTCATAGTCTCAAAGAGAGCCTAAAGAACACACGGAAGGATTACATAAGGGCCGGCCTATTCGGAAAGAAAAATGCTGGCGTCGGCATTGTTGGGCACTGGCCAATATCAGTCCATGGGACACAACCATCAGGTGAGAAGGACGTTTAAATTATCGTTGGTTGTATACGTGCATTCTTGCATTGTTGTGTTTTCTAATGGTGGTCATATGCAAGTTAGTGTAGTGTTGATGTTTGTATGCTGCTCCAGAACGTTTCGGTGCCCAAGTAGATATCTTGGTCGAAACGACACCATCATTTAGGAATTAGTCACGGCTTAACCCTCGCACGACCAGGCCATTTCTCATAACACGAACGACCAGGGGGGGGGGGGTTGTTACGACCCCCCCTGGCGTTTCGAAACGGAAGGTCGTAGAGCTTAGCGGAAAAAACCAACGGATTGCTCTCAACGAGATCTCGCGATTGGTGGTATATTTTTTGGTCCTAGGTCAACATTTGACCTACTTTTGACCGGTCAAAGGTCAAATTTTCGGAAAAATATACTTTTTTCAACTTTCGGCGGCGATTGCGGCAAAACGGTGGGAGATATCGACTTGAAACCTTCACTTTCGTGTTCCTTGATCAATTCTCTATCGTTTGGTATGTATTTCGTTTCCCTAGCTCTAAAAATGGCGCGTTGGGAGCGCCGGAAGTCGGCAAGGTCACAGTCGGCGGCAGAAATTCGAAAAATCAAAATTTAAATTTTTGAAATCTGATTGTATTTTTGGATTTGGGAGG